GTACATCTGCTGTGCTGAATTCTGCAGCCACAGCACAGTCTCGTATTGTATCATGGCCACGAGATCTTGAAATTGGTGCAGTAAAGCTGCATCTTTTTTATCTGCACGTTGCGACAATGTCCCTGCTTCCTTTACTTGCGGACTTATTCCCAAGAGCATACACAGACACAGTAGATCTACTATTGACATAAACATGCGATCCTTAAATTCGAAATTCAGCAACTGTTGAGCTATGTCCGGTCGTTCAGACATTAAAGTTCGAACAAAGGCGATTAGATTGATGTCGTGCCGACATACACGTACGATTTCCCTGAGCAATGCACGCAATGGCCTCAAGTAATCCTCGCGATTCATCAGTAAATCTTGAAAGATCTCTGCAAGCAATTTTGCCGCTTGTTCGGGCAAAGTCTGAAACATTATACCCAACATAGGCATATTGTTTGGATTGCGTGCATTCGATAATTCATTGTAGATTGTATGCTTCAAGATAGTAGCTAAATTCTCTGGATGTAATCCGATCAATTCCTTGACGCCATTCAAGTATAGGTTTATCACAGCCTTCGTCTTCAATCTCATCTTAACCAATTGACTTATGACCTCCACGTCTCTTTGAGTATGAGACGTACAATTGTAGCAAATGTAAATAAGCAATTCTTGCGCGGGTCTCATCAACTTAGGATTGTGCAACCATACTTCTAGCCTCGGGACAGCGATATTTCTGATCTCAACAAAACCACATGCTGAAGAAAGCAGCTTCAAGAAATTTCTCGTTATAGTCTCAGCCTGGCGTCTATTTAGTTGCTCCTTTACGGCTTCCAGTACTATTGATTCTACATTTTCCACGCAATGCGCATACCGCGGGCTTACTGGAAATTCTATTTTCTCTTTATCCCCAGACAATAATGTTGTTGATGCCGCTGGATCCTCATCATCCACTGTAGATGGGCTGGGACAATCCCTTTGCATTAGTACCGGAAATTCTGGCTGCAACACAGACTTAGGTGGATGCCTCGTGTTAAAACCTGTTAGTATGTTGTCAACAAAACCCTTGCATTCCTCATGGTCAACCCATACACGTTCTCCAAGAGCATCTTCAACATATAGCTATAAAAATAATTTAAAAAATCAATTAAAATATCAAAATTATACAATAAGCAATACAAAAGATTAAACCAAATAAATAACCTTCACAAATACTTCCGGCCAGTTCTTTTTGTCATGAAAACCTTTCATCAAGAGATTTGCAGCAAGTACAGGAACTAGTGGACTCACTTTAGTCTTATAGCTATTTTGATTATTTGAATCCCTTCTTAAAAGAGACGATAATGCATGTAGTATACAATCGTTTGAGAAAATAGATGGACGAATTTTTGCTAAATATAACAAGCCCATATAAAGTAAATTATCAGGCTTCCATCTCAGATTCTTCAATGTCTTAATAGCGCCACATATTATCCCAATAACTCTATCGCCTTCGTCATTGTCATTAGCCTCAAGTGCCATAGGCACAAAGTCTGCAGGATCAGTGTCTATAACTAAAACCTCCCATGCTTCCGCGCTGGAGGAAGGTTGCCGTTGATGGGAGCTGACATGGGCCAACTTAGGCTTCTTCTGTGGGACATACATAAACGATGATCCAGAAGGAGCCTCTTTCTTTCGGTCATTACCTACATAATGATAATTTGTATAAACAATAATTTGCAATTGTGAGAGTATCATGAGAAAAAAAGAAGTTATTTACCAGAAGATGTAGAACTGCCACTAGGTTTGGAATGAATAACACCAGGTCTGCTTTTAGAATCAGAGTTATCGTTCCGTGAACTCTTTGATCCCAGTGCGAATAAATCAGAAGGATGTTGAGCAATCTTATTTTTTACTGCTCTACCAAGCCCAGTCTTTCCACGCTCCATGATTAATTTTTTTCTATCTAGAATATCAAAAGCTGTAGAAAATACTAAATAGAAATGGTTAAGATATTTTAATAAATAAATTTATTATAATAAATATAACGATACACAATATAATAAAAAATAACGTTCAGAATTTGAGTATCGATTAAGAAATACTTAAGTCACAATTTACTGGCAATATATACAAAACTAAAAGTTAAATGTTCTAACCTAAAACGTCAATGTCTAGAAATTATTTTCATGAAATAAATCCCGTCAATATCGTCGGTAATAATAATGCATTCTTATACTGATATACATATCGTCTTCCTAAATAAAAGAATGAAATATTTATCATGTGTCTAAATGGTCTAAATTAAGCAACTACAATTCCACACGTATCAACATTGATCTACACTGACACATCCCGGATCACCGTAATCAACCGACATAACCAACATAACCACGTTACACTCTCTAAGAATCTGTTCTGTTCTATGTTACATTTCCTGCACTTGAAAAGAAATAGATATATTATTAGATGTTGGGAACAAAAAGAGAAAAAATGAAAAAGTGCAAAAAGTTTGTAGAACAAATCTAGAGTTGCACTTAACTAGTACAACACTTGTAGTATGCACTGAACAATTCTTCTTCTTATAATTAGTTAGTAGTGCCTGCCTCCACACTGAACGATGGAATGCAAATCAATTCACGTATTTTCACATATTTGCTGTTTAATTCTTTTAATTACATATTTGTTGTTACCAAAGAGGTTGTCACAATAACCTTATAACCTGTCATAACCTTAACCCTCAGTTTTTGGCATCCTTACTACACAGGTTCGGTCATTCGTGTTCTGGATTAATTTTCATCACTTTTACAAGTATATATAAATCATTATAAACGATTTTTACATATATTTTGACATTTTTATAAAGTATTTGTACAGTTATATATTCATAATAAATTGTAGATAAATTGTTATAACTAAATATAGTTAACAAAACGAGAAAAATACACTGTTTTATATAAAAATGTAAACAAAAATGTTTAAAAGAAAAATATAGTTCAATATTGTAAAATTGATATTCCAAACTACAAAAAAAAAGTGTCGGCTGTTCAAAAAGTTTAGTTATTGAGTAACCTAAAAATAATGTTTTTTTAATACGCATGAATGGCTATACATTGAAAATATATTACATTTACATTTTAAACAATATATTTTATTACTGCTATTGCGTTAAAAAAAACTTATAATTTATTAGGAAAATGTTTTTTATAACATTACAAACAACATAATATATAATATTACTGACGTTTAGCACAAAGCCAAAAATCGTGTTTATTAAAGGTTAATGTTGTTTTGACGAAGTAGCAAAAGTAGGTGCTTGTTCTTAATTAATGAGTTCTTAATACACGAATACCGTACGTCCCTCGCATTCCAGATCTTAGGAAATTGTTCGACACAACGTTTGTTGTTTGTTGTTGCAATAAACTGCACTAAAACTTTCTATCTCACTTTCGCCAAACTTAAAAATACATACTTATTGCATTTTAAGTCCAAGTGTACACTAGTTAGTTTAACCAGAAAAAATAGATTTAAAGAGAATAAAGAGAGTAATTCTTCATGTTTGCTCTCTAATCAGGATCTAATCATGTAACTTTTCCCCTGTATGAAAAGTTTTCCCCATTAACTTCAATAATAAAAATTTTCACGTTTTTTCTCTAGGGAAACATTTTTAAAATAAAAATCTGCCGTCTGTTAAAATAAAATATAGCTGCAAAATTATTGCAATGTTTAGAGAAATATTGCAGATATATTGTTACAATATTCTAATAATTAATCCAGTTTTATTACTAAAATATTGTATTGATTAACACAATCCAAAATATACTTTGCAACTATTTAAAATTCTTTGACGTGATTAGTCTTATCTTTAGTTCCTTACTTGAATCTTCTTTACTAAATGTATAACTATAAACCAATAATCATATTAAAGAATCATACAACAGTTGCAATTCAGCTGTTTTTTTCTTCTGAACGCAGTCATTAAAATTACAATAATTTTACAATATTGTTGCAATATATTTCCAATAAAATATTAAAATTTTAATATAATAGTAATATTGCTGCAATTTTTGTAATATGATTGAAAAATTTGAAGGTGGCTCAAAAATACAAAATATAAATTATGGAGAGCATACAATCACAACGATAAATGTTTAAAAAAGGAAAGTCATATGTTTAAAATATATTTAAATGTATTAACGTTTTTATATGATAATTTTAAATATATGACTTTCGTTGAAACGTCTATCGTTGTGGCTGTATGCTCTCTATTATTTATATTTTGTAATATGACCCACTATTAAAATATTGCTGCAATATACATATATTTCGTACTGTAGGGGAAGTTACGCTCGTTTGACAATTGCGTAAGCGTAGTTGTAAGGGCTATTGCTGAATTCACTGGATTCGACGTACGTCGTACAACGCTCTGCAACCAATCAGAAAACAGGATTTTGTTTCGTATCATCGGATATAAAATTCTGCTTTTTGGTTGATTACAGAACGTCGTATGATGATTAATCGAAAGAAAGAATTTTACTAACTTTGACCAATCAAAAAATGCTTCGAGGCATTTGCAGCGTAAAGTAGATCGCACCCATTGTGTATTCTTTTAGATCATCCAATCGGCATTTTAGATCTGAAAGAATACATCAATAGCGAGCTCTAATTCAACTGTTAAGTTCGCTGAACGCAGTCATTGGCCTAGTTTCCACCGAGAGTTTAATCCGGATTAGAATGTAAGAACCAACTAACTACAGTCGATTATTTTCCTGTTGTTCGACTAGTAGGGGAATACTCAACTGTAGTCAGTTGGTTTTTACGTTCTGATCCGGATTAACCCTTAGTGGAAACTAGGCCATTGAGCGAGTTCAAGACGACAAAGCGGCTAGGCATTGTTTGGCGAGCAAATGAGTATGATTGGTTCTTATCTGTGAATTCAACCAATCATGTTTAATTGCTCGGCGAGCGGTCTAGCCGCTTTGTCGACTTGAACGCGCCCATTGGTTTTCGGCTTTTCGTTAAGAAGAAGAGCGCCATCTTCTTTCGCCGTCCTCTTTCATTTTTGCTTTCATAGACGACGTTGTTGGAAAGATCTTGACAAGATGGGTCGTATGCACTCACATGGGTAACATAACAATATTTATCGTATCATCGATGTAATCTGTTTAATTTTCTGTACTGCGACGTTTGATTTACCAATATCCTCGGCATCGACATGATATAAGAATATATCTTGTGGCATACCATGGGCATCGAGATGTGTCGGTGTGCACATCTAGTGACCATGTGTTTGTGACTCCGTTCTTTTCCTTCGAACGATCAATTACCCTATTTATTGGCTTTATAATTTATAATTTACAGTTGTTGAGCGATCTAATGATTCGGCTTTTTTGTATGTATCTTGTAAACCAAGCATGTTGCTTTTACGAATACATAACCTATCACGTGTACGCATGGTGTAACCGCGATTTATTTCTCCTGTAACTGCAATGTCAGTGAAACATTTGTCAAGCACGAGTATTTAATCAAGTCACTGACATGCAATGTTAATGCATTTGTTAATCTTTACAGTATAGTAAAAACATATTTAATGATAAAGAATTTAATCTTTTATATCTAATATAAGAAAAAGCCAAAGACAGGCAGAGACGAAGAGTATTATAAAATATTGGATTTAATATATCAATATATTAAAAATAAGCTATAATGCTTATTTTTAATGTATTGATTATATTAAATTTTATCTAATATTTTTATTATAACTTTTATATTATTGGTCAATAACTGGT